TCGTCGTCGTCGTCGTCGTAGTAACAGCAGCAGTAGTAGCAGCAGTAGGAGGAGCAGTCGTAGTAGTAGCTGCAGCACCAGCCAGCAGCAGCAGCAGCAGCAGCAGCAGCAGCAGCAGCAGCAGTAGTATTAGTAACTAGTACTAGTATTAGTACTAGTGCTTGCAGTTGTGGTAGTACGGGTAGAGCGGTAGTGGGCCTCCGAACATTGGCAAGGGGAGCCCAGGCTCATTCCGGACCTCAACTTCGACTGGCAGTCGCCCTCCATCAGCTTCCTCACGCAACAGTATTGCTGGGAGGCTTGGGGTGAGAACGTCCTTGTGGGCCCTCTAACCCTAAACCCTAAACCCTAAACCCTAAACCCTAAACCCTAAACCCCTTGTGGGCCCTCTGGAATTGGCAGTTTTTGCCCTAAGCCCGCGGAAGAATCCCCAAGTCTCTCTGCAGTTCAGGTGGCGCAAAGCGCGAAAGGAAGCACGGATGCCTGCAGACAGCGGATCTTTTGACATGTCTGGAACCAGTTTTATTGTTTCATTCGTATGTTAAGTGAATCGGGAGAAGCTAACTTCCTCTAGGAGCCATGGGTTCTCCGGCTGTAGCATCTCGTTCTTTTCAGACGGCCGCATCTGCTGAGAGGCCGGATTCCTGCTCCTGCTCGGTCCCGTTCTCGTACTGGCCGTGAAAACGCTCAAAGTCGGTGAAGTCTTAACATCTCCACACCATTTCGGGTCGCCCGCTGCCGCCTCGCAAAATCGCGCTCCTGTAACACCGCACACACATTTCGGTGCGCCTCTTGCTTCCGTCTCCAGAAATCGTAGCACTTCCGATACCAGGACTTCCGATGCCTGGATCTATGCTGCCAAAATCGAATCTACATTCAATGACTGTAGAATTCTGAGTTGCGCCTTCGTTGCTACTTTGGAGCCGTCGGAACACACAGTTGTTATGCGAATTGGCCATAGCTTAACTGAGCGCCTCTTCGAGTTTCACCGGCGAGCGTAGATGTAAGAAACAGGATCTATCTTACAAAAACGCTCACAGTCAGCACCTTAAGAGTGAGACATCTGCTCAGGCCGTGGTTCGGAAGCTTAGGCCTCGCTGCCATTTCCGAAATGGAATGTGAACTTCTTCTGGGTTCTTGTTAAGGGATTTAATTTAAGTTACCATAATAAGGAAACCATATTATTTACTATAGATCCCTATTATGGTAACTTAAATTAAATCCCTTAACAAGAACCCAGTCTTTCGGACGCCCCGTTTCTTCTCCTCGAACAAACCCTAAAACCTGCCCCTCAAGTGGCACATTCTGTGGGGTCTCCGGCTCCCTTGTTACCGGGAAATGCAGAAGACAACGAAAGCTTGAAATTGAAGTGGCACGCTCGCAACCCTAAAACGCTGCAAAGCCCCATGAAGCCCATAAGCCCTAGCAAAGCCTTTTGCCCTTGAAAGGGCCACCCCCCCCTCCTCCAAAACATGAAAGAAGTGGCTCAGCAAAGCATCAACCCTAAACCCTAAACCCAAGCCCCCAAACCCCCTAAAAACCCTTATAAACCCCCCAAACCCTAAACCCTAAACCCTAAACCCAAACCCCCTAAACCCCAAAAAACCCCTAAAGCCCTAAACCCCCAAACCCCGAAGCACAAGAAAAGCCTTCGCTGCCTTTCGCTCAGGATCTCCTGCTCGGCTCAGGGCGAGTCCTCCGACCCAAGCCCTTCCTACAGCGTGGTCAATTACGAGAAAGACCAGTCCAAGGTGGGATTAGGGTTTTGGGGTCGAGGGTTTAGGGTTTAGGGTTTTAGGGTTTAGGGTTTAGGGTTTAGGGTTTAGGGTTGAGGGGTTTAGGGGTTTAGGGGTTTAGGGGTTTAGGGTTTAGGGGGGCAAGTGCGAGGGTCCTTACGGCCAAACGATGCCGATGCAGATCTTAGGATTTGGGGTTTCGGTTTCTGCTGGGAACCGGTCGGCGGCGCAGGTGCTTCTGATCTTGATCATGTCAGGTTGAGGGTTGCACGCCAGAGACAGGCTTCCATCACTGAAATAATTGAGAGGCTTGAATCAGTAATACCATGTAATACCGCATTTCCTAGGTCCTAGGGACCCCTAGCATTTTTGCAGTAGCCCCCCAAGCTCCAGTTGACTCGAATTCTTCAGGATAAGTCAGGCCCATGTTTCGGAGGCCAGTCCCAGGATTACAGGAAAAGTTCTTCTCCTCGCAGAGGAGTGAAGTGGTTTCTAGTCCTAAACCCTAAACCCTAAACCTTAAACCACATTTCGCGGCCGGAGGCCGGGCCAGGTTTTTAGGGCAAACTCTCAGGTCCTCGCGCCGGAATCCTACGAGACAAAGGTCTACCAGCCGGACTTCACTGTGCAGAGCGAGTTCTGCGGGTGCCTGGGATGTAGGACTTCAGGACCGCAGGGGGTTTTGGGACTTAGGGTTAGCAGCATTTGCGACTAGATCGAGAAGGAAACCGAGAAGGCAATCCGGTTCATGGGAAATTAGGAAGTTGAATGGTTTGAAGGTGTTTGAGTTGCTCTGCGATGACATTGATGGAGTGTTGGCTTCTTTTCTCCTTGTCTTTCTACCTGATGGAGTCAAGCCTGATGGTGATGTAGAAGACTGAGGGCTTCATGGTTCTACCTGAACATGTCATGCTGCTTGCTGGTGTGCGAGTTGTGAAGTTGAAACATCCGGTCTTCTGCCACTTATGGCCTGCGTTTTCACAATATGAGCCGCAAGTCCTGTTGGGCATGGCAGAGAACGGACAGCTTTTGCAAAGGCTCCTGGTGAAGATCTTTGGCAGAATAACATGCGAGTGCCACACTTTGCTGAGGTTCGTCAACTACGGCGACCGTGTTGTTCTCTCCTTGAATCCGGATATATTCGATTCCACCTGCGGGCAGTATGGCTGTGCAGTTGGCTATGTTGACACGTTCGACGACGCAAAGATGAAGTTTGCAGAGGGTGGAGACGAGCCGGATGCTTTCTATGTCTACGGCACAGAGCAGGTGAAGCCCGGTGAGTGCGTAAAGTTCGGCGATGAAGTCGTCCTATCCTGGAGCGAAGCCTCTAGTGAGGGCTGCGTTCCGGGGTCGCTCTCGCACTGTGTGGAGCCCTGGATCTGTTGAGCACGCTTTGTGTCCGCAGTGCAACTCCGCGTCAGCTTCGTTTCCGTCAGCTTGCTGGCAACAAAGGAGTCGGACAATTGCGAGGTCTTTTCCAACGAGAACATGAAGGATGCCAGTCCCTAAAGCTCGAGCCCCGAACCTGACATCTCTTCAACGCCGAAGTTTGCAGTTGGCATGCAGCCTGAACCCGCCAAAATGGCCCCAACACCGGTCCATGAGAGTAGACTCGCTCATTGTTAGGGGGGGAGATAGGGGATGAACGACAGGATGAGAGCCTGACTTTCGCGCAGCGCCGGGCTCTCTGCGCAACGGCTTGCTTCGGTGGCCGGGCGCTGGTTTAGACAGCTGGGAAAGATTGCTGGGACCGTAGGATGCGACAAAACAAATCAGATTTCCGGAGGCTGCGCAAGCCTTCTGCAAGGATCTTGACACTCCAAGACGCAGTCGCCCGAAAGCTCATTTCAGCTTCACTCGAACTTGCAAAGAGGCACCTTGACATTTTTCTAAAAAGTACTAGCAGTAGCATCTCCCCTGCTACTACTACTACTACTAC